CCAGTTCAGCCAAGACGATAACAGTCCGATCAAACGGAACAGCGGATTCGAATAGCGAGAAACAGCCAAACAGCGAAGAAGAAGCAGCCACTAAGATACAAGCAGCTTTTCGGTAAGGTCGTTCATTCGCACAATTTATTTTCCATTAAAACATCGATCGTTTTTAGAGGCCATAAAACTAGACATACATGACTTTCCGACTAAGTCATGTCTTAGTCGGAAAGCACGGGAGATCACTTCGCCCACTGCCTCATCGCCTTTGATAATGTCGACCGCAGTTGTTGACGAAACGTCGGGAAGAAATTCCCATAGACCCCGGCTTCAAAGCCCGGAAAACATTCCTAAATCTGTTACTGAAGAATGTTTCATACATCCTTGGTATTGTAGTGCGTTTTTTTACGTGTCATAGTTTTGATGCAAAATTTTCTATTTTACCTAGGATCGTCTTGGGGATCTCCACCAGTATTCAATCGCGTTACTCCCGGTGGGGGTCCAGTCAGATTAGGAAGCACTGCGCCTCCTGCTACCACCCCATTAGTTTCAGGGGGAACGGCCCCGCCTCCCGGCTGGGGCGGAGGTTTCACGTCCTCCGTAGGCCGCCTAGTCCACGTGTTATTTGATTGCTTCCTACTTGGGCCGCCTAGGGAGAGACGCACACCGAATAAATTAATGTAGATGCAGCTTGCCCCAGGCCTGATCATACCTCGCATTACTGGAGGCGGTGATGTGTCGCGCTCTCCTTGAAGAAACTTCAGGTAGCTGCTCATAAATCCCGCTCCAGGACCAGATATCTTGTCGGATGGTTTTGTCGCCAAAGACATTATGGGCTTATGATGCAGGTTGGAGTGGTGGTTCAGTGCCGGAGACTGTGGCGTTGTATCTAAAACCGTTGCATTAGAATGCTTTCATTGCTGACACCGTAATCTTCGCCTCACCACCCGATAAAAAATTCAACTCCTCTTCTATATTAGGCACGACTACTTTGGGCTGATCGTCTGGCTGCTGGTATTGCTGAGGCGGCGGCTGTTGCTGCTGCTGCTGCTGTTGTTGTTGTTGTTGTTGCTGCTGCTGCTGCTGCTGAACAGCGTGTTGTTGCGCCGCTTGATCATTATAATTGCTCAATGGAGTGAGCTCAACAGTGGAAGGAAACTCGCTAGGATGATTGGCCAGGTGGAACGGCGCAAAATAAGGAAGTGGCGGAGGTGGATGATGACCATGTGGATGAGGCACCTGAACAAAAACTATCTAAGTCAAACGGCAGGTTCATCAGGCAACAAGCTCACCATCAAGCCCTGGTGTTGCTGATGTAGCGCAGCTGCTTGGGTGCTGAAAATCTTTGAGTTTGGTGGTGGAATATTCCAGCGGTCAAACTCGAAGTAGACCCCGTTTTGCTGCTGCTGGTTGCCTCCCGAAGTGTGAGCTGGCGGAGGGACACGATCTAGAATTACGATTTCTCAAAACACTCAAATATTGTGTTTTGGTTAAGACAAACCATTCAAATGATACAGAGAAAACACTTTACAGGGGATCGTTTATCTGGTAGTTCGGTCTTCAAAATAAGTTAAACTGGGAGACTCAATGGATATTATCCTCTGTATGAATGAGGATGAAATGTAATTGAAGGGATTAAAAGCAAAACCGCCTAAGTGCAATATTTCGCAAAACTGTATGTTTTAACTCGTATTCCCCTATTTGCCTCTATTTGGCAGTAAAATATCTCAGGCAAAAATCATACCCTGACGGCCTCTTTTGGCGAACAAAAATTTCAATATAAAGGAATACGGCCAGACGTTTGGACCCAAAAACGCTTGAGTGGCACATGGGTTGTTTTGCACCTGAATGTATTTTCGTTAGAATAACAAAATTTAATCACAGAAATTGATTGATTATTTCTAATCAATATGTCTTCGGGATCAGGTTGCAAACAGGGGATGAAACCTACACAAACAAGGGAAACAGACTTGAATTTGCAGGGATGAGTTAAAACGACTTTCTTCAAAATTGTACAGTTTACCACCTTATGATCTACAAACAAGTTTTCAACTTCAGGCATAAAAAAGAACATAAAAGGAAGTCGGCTAGAGCTAGATTTTGTATTAATTCCAAATATTTAAACAAGCATATTAAGGATCCAAAATAGGACACACAAAGTCAAACTATAAAATGGAGAGCCATAAGATGGTTTTCATACAAAAAAAAACCAAACATATCAGCTTTCCTTCGAGACTTTGGATGTGGACTTTCCATTTTTTCAGTCAGAAAAATGTTGGTCGTCCGGTAAATAATTTAAACTTAGACCCTGTTTACCAAGAAACACTAAAAATTAAATATGAGAAATGGGCAAATTTACAAAAGTTTCTAGATTTCATCCTCCCAATAAACCATCAATTTTATGACAATCTGCCCCATCAGCCAAAGCCGCAAAAAGAGAAAAAAACAGCAATTCAGCTGAAAGTTAGCAAATTGAAAATGTCGAAGAACAAGACAATAATTATACGAATTTGTGGTCAGATTACGAGTAAATTTAGTTTAGATTAATTTTTCTGGAAAATATTAAAACATTCAAAAAACTGTTCGCTTTGTCGTTTTTGATAATTTGTTTTGATTCAGAGACAAAACAACCCAAGTGCGTTTTTGCTTCCGAATGTATTTAAGCTTTTTTTCCTTGAGTAGTAGTTAAGTGTTTGAACGTAATTTGACGAAACAAACACGTTGAAGGAGCAAAAAATGTGGAAACAAACAATAAATATTTACTTACTGGATGAATGAACTTCAGGAGGTGCAGGAATTGGCGCGGCTGGTTTTTCGATGCTCTTCCTCCTTTTAGGCGGTTTAGGCACTTCCTGTTTTATTTCCACCTGGGCAACTTGACACGTCTGCTGTTGCTGCTGCAAAGTCTTGACTATTGTCATCGGGTCCCCTCGGCAACTGGACAAGTCTTGCAGCGTCACCTTTTAGGAAGACTTATTAGATTAATGCTTCTTGATGTCTTGTCATAGACATAGGGAAACTGTCCGACAGAAATATTCGGAAACAAGTGCAGGAATCGCGGACTAACGATTTAAAGAAAATCAACAACAACACCAGTAAAGCACAAGACAAATGGGATAAATTCAAAAACTCTTTACAAGCAAATTGTGGAAAATATTTGCAAAAGGATAAAAACAAAAAACAAGAGTGGATGACACAAGAGATCCTCGACATGATGGACGAAAGACGGAAACACAAAGGTAACAACAACACAAAGTACCGTGAAATTCACAAAAACATAAGGAAAAACATTAGAGAGGCAAAGGAAAAATGGTTCTTTGAAAAATGTGACAATATAGAACAATATGAAGTGAAGCACGACTACCGCAATATGCATAAGGAAATAAGGGAAATGACTACAAAGAAAATAAACAACAGAAATACGTTCATACTGGACACTAACGATAATATTATTTCGGAACCATCAAAATGTCTAGAGGTATGGAAATTATATGTCGAACTCCTCTTTGTTTCGGAACGATCTAAAGAACACAATATGAATGAGATAGTTAGATAGAGGTTAATTATGAAATCCGAAACTGAAAAAGTTATTCTATCTCTCAAGAACGACAAAGCTCCTGGACCTGATAGCATTCAAGTAGAAATATTAAAACTTATGTGTGAAACTGACAATCAATTTCTCGATATCCTCACGAGTCTATTTAATGATATCTATAATAGAGGAGAAATACCCAAAGAATGGCTTGAATCAACCTTCATCGCAGTGCCGAAAAAACAAAACGCAAAAACCTGTGATCAACACCGACTCATCAGCCTCAT